AGTGCCTTTTCAAATTCCTTGCTGACATGAAGGATATGTCAATAATTCTGTATAGAAAGAGGTTTTATGCATAGATGTGAGTGTATCCGATTGCCATGAATGTGGGTGACTACTGTGAGGCGTCTGGGATTAGACTTTTTCTTTTTTAAAAAATACCCGATTTAACTCTTACCCTGTTACTCCCTGTAAAAGTCAAGTTCACTGTAAGAACAGGGTTTTCTCAAATAAACTAGCCCCCTTCCTCAGGGCCCCATTTTGTAGCACGTAGCCTGTGTTGGGAAGAAAACAGTGCTGCTCATAGAGGGCAGAAACAGCCCTACCAGCAGTAAACAAACAGTGAAAATTATCCAAACACTGTCAAGGCTGTTGCAACAGTCTCACAATAACTGCTTTAAGAGACCTTTGACTGAACAGCTCGTTGGGTCTGAGATGGGCTAACTGCTTCAGGGTTGGTTTGGGGGTTTTTTTTGGGGGGGGAGGACATTTGCACTAATTTTTCAACTCCCTTTGGGTGAATCAGTGAGAGAATGCCCTTGCTTCTGAAGCATAGTGAAAGCCCTCAATGAAAACCAGAAGGCAAGCGAGGCTTCCTGTCTGAATTTGAAGACAACCACTAGAATATATATTAAAAGTCTTTGTTTTGAAATACATTGGCCACTTCTAATGGACCTTCCATCTCACTGAGCAACGTTGTACTGGAAATAACCAAATAACTGGGAAGGAGAGGGTCCCAGCAGGGAAGACGGACCCTTTCAGAGTTTACCAAGTTACAATGAAATTTGTATTGCATTGTTTTCATCCCTGGATCCTCTATTGGCTACAGCAATAGTGTTCCCTCAAACAGAATAAGTTTCTCCTCTCATTTTTCCACGAAGGGCTGTAAAGCAACATGTCTTGGGAGGGAGGAAGCAGGGGCACTGAGCTTGCCATATATATCTTTCCCACCCCTTTTTGCTTAAAGAAACACACCAAGCTCAGTTTCTTTAGTTTTCTTCTGAGTTATTGAGTTAATTTAATTTTTTTTAAAGCAGCATTATGGTTATAGGAGAGTGACTGTCCGGAAATGCAGCTCAGTGGCGCTGAAGCTGCCTTTTGGCGCAGTGGCCTCAGCCCCTGCTCTGTGCCCCACTCTGGGCTGTAGCTGCTCAAGACAGCCCTCTCCCTGCTTTCCTAACCAGTTACTCTTCACCTCTCTGCCAGCTGAGGCTGGTCTTGGGCAGTGGTCACCCGTCTGCTACAAATGGGTTGAGTTAACAATCTGTCTTTCAGAAGCTAATGGTTCTGAATACTTACCCTACACTTAAACTGTAGAACACTGTTCTGCCTTCCGTTAGCAATAGGGTCCTGCTTCAGCGCTCCTGTGCAATTTTCAGCAGAAGTATTGTGTCCAGCCACAGTGCTGGATTGTCTCAAGCGTAACTTTTTGGAAGGACCTGTTAAAAACATACAATGCTGCTCATACCAGTGTAGTCCTAAATCTGGTAAAATGGCCTTCTCTCTGCGGTGTCCCTAGGATGGCACTTCTGTGCCGTTCAGGCAGCATACTGGCTACACAATACTTACACTAGATAGCAAAGTATATAGAAAATAATTGCCAAAGAGCAAATTTTAGAACTCAAGCATTTGTTGCTTGCCAAATCAATACATCGCTTCTTCAAATTCTAAACCTGCTTTTTAAAGTAGGTACTTCCTCCACCCTTTGATGTGAGAAATCCTCACTCTAGAGGGACCTGACCTTTACACCAGAGGATGAAATGCTGCACGCTTAAGAGCTTCTAAAGCACCACCTTTGCATGTAGTATTCTTGTTCATTGTATAAAAATGTTGCTGACTGCTTTATGTGCCCACTTTGGTTTATAGGTTCTACTTTGACTGCAGAATTGTTTCAGAAGTCTAAATCTCACCTTAAAAGTGAATTTGAGGCTGAAGGAAGCTTTCTCCTTTTAGTCAATGATTGTAATAGGACTTACTATAGTGAAGGGAGATACAGAAAAGCCTGTCATAAGCAGAACTTTGTTCTTTAATACTAGAACAGTGTATATCCAAGTTGCTGGTTTTAGGATTTGCAAATGAGTATTCAAGCAGCCCTGAGGAGGACTTGGGGCTGCTGATTGACGAGATGCTCAACAGGAGCTGGCAATGTGCAATCGCAGCCCAGAAAGTCAACTGTGTCCTGGGCTGCATCAAAAGCAGTGTGGCCAGCAGGTCAAGGGAGGTGATTCTGCCCCTCTACTCTGCTCCGCTCAGACCCCACCTGGAGTACTGTGTCCAGCTCTGGAGCCCCCAACATAGGAAAGACATGGACCTGTCCAGAGGAGGCCACACAGACGATCCGAGGGCTGGAGCGCCTCTCCTATGAGGACAGGCTGAGAGAGTCAGGGTTGTTCAGCCTGGAAAGGAGAAGGCGCTTGGGGAGACCTGATTGCAGCCCTCCAATCCCTAAAGGGGCTACAGGAAAGCTTGGGAAGGACAAGGGCACATAGTGATAGGACGAGGGGGAATGGCTTCAAACTGGAAGAAGGTAGATTTAGATTAGATATTAGGAAGAAATTTTTCACTTTGAGGGTGGTGAGCCCCTGGCGCAGGTTGCCCAGAGAAGCTGTAGCTGCCCCACCCCCGGGGGTGTTCAAGGCCAGGCTGGATGGGGCTTGGAGCAACCTGGGCTTGTGGGAGGCGGAGGCACAGGGGTTGGAACTACATGATCTTTAAGGTCGCTTCCACCCTAAACCATTCTATGATTCCTTTAGAAAGTTGCATTTTTTCACTCATCAGCCCAGCTGCACTGGGCAGCACACCATCTGCAGGAAGCTTTCAACAAGAACTGGGCCATGAGCAGAGAAATGTAACGCACTTCCCCTTTTCCTAAGCTGTTAAAATCATTGCTGCATGCAGGTACTTCCAGGAACTCAACTCCTGTTTCTGTCCCAGCTTTCTTTCAAAGCTATATGGTGCCCTCCGGTGGCTAAAGCGTGGCACTTGTCCCCCTACAACTTAAAATATGATTGTCTTCCAGGATCCTGCTCAAGATACTAACTAAAATAGACTAACATTACATGATTAGGTAAGAGAATAAAAGCTTTTTAATTAAAAACAAATTAGACTTCAGGAAAAAGGAGCCTTAACTGTAGCAGAGGAAGTGGTGTTCTGATCTGGATCGTGTTTAGGCTATGTTGAAGACTACTTGAAGGCTCTAACATTTAAAACAGTTTTTAATTTTTTAATAATAAATCTGCAAACACAAGCTTTTACCTGTAGTTTAATATTTATATACTGATGGATAGCACCTAGAGGCCCCAACCAACATTTGAGCCCCCTCAATGTCTCTGCCCCAAAGAGCTTACAGTCTAAGCAGTCAAAAGAAGTAGGAGAAAATAATAACCACGCTTTCTTTTATAGATCAGTAACTCCGATCCAACACAGGTCAAGTGATTTACCTGCTCTAAGGCACAGAATGTGTGGTGGGAATTAAACCAATATCTCCTGAATCTCTGCTGCAGGTCTCAGTTAAAAGATGCTCCTTCCTCTCTAGACCACTTTTCTCTTAACAAAATTAGCCCATTTGGAAATCTCAGCCTGAAGCTGATTAAGGTTCAGGACTGTTCTCCAGGTCAGGGTAAGCTGCAGGAACAGAACAGAGAATGTATCGGTCAGAAGTGTAGCTACGTTACACATTTTCATTTTCTGTGGTTATCTCACAGGTTTGGGACCCAAAGCTGCCCCAAGACTAGCTGTTCCGGGTGCTAGCTACCTTGGATTGGAATGGGGATCTCCTCTCTTTTCAATTCAGTGGACTTTGTTTTACATGCTGCCAGAGAAGCACAAATCTCAGAAAGGTGCACTGCTTATGCACTACTGGAACAAACACGTTCTGTCCTTCCCCATACATGAACACTTCTCCTTGGTGAGCGTAAGACAGGAGCTGTTGGTGGGGAAGGCTGGGAGAGCTCTCTCCTCTGGGTGCTCATTAACCTGAGCATCCATTCTTCCGCTTTTCTGGGGCTAGGGAGAAGCTGCTATGTTCATTTTAGGCTTCTGAGGAGCCAGCAGTAAGATAAGGACTTGTCTAGGTAAGAGACTATTTTATTTCAGCTTTGGTAACAAGTTCTTGACTTGGAGGTAGCAGCAGGTTCAGTTTATTTCTATATGCATCAGCAAACCAAAATAAAAGGAGTTGAAGGATGCACATCGCTGAATTGCCCACTCTCTACCAACATATATAACTGCAGCTAATTGGAAAAAAAAAAAAAGACAAAGCTATTAATATTTTGCATTTTAAACTACAGAACTTCAGTTTCATACTTAGTTGAAAGCTTTTGAAATCAGCACCAGTCTCATTGGATAAGTCACTGCCACCTGGTCAGTCACCAGTCCTATGTCTTTTGTCAAATGTGCATAAAACAAGGAGATTGCTGATGCTCCGTGTTTACAATAATAACTGAAAGGTAAGAATGAATAGCCATTAGCAGATAAATTACTTAACAGTAGTCAATAAACAAATACACTTCACCTGTATAAAGCAGTATGTTAATTCACAAGTTAAGTTGTATTGATAGTTGAGGTGGTAATATACAACAAAAATACTAAAGTATCATCACTTGAAAAATAGTCTTGCTTCGTCAGGGAGCTCTGTTTATACATACAGGTAAATGAAACAGCACTGACCATAGAAGCTGAACAGTCATGCATACAAAAAGTGATCACTTTTCAGCTATTGCACAAGTAATGACACTCGAAGACATACACAGTAGGATTCTTACAAAATGACATCAGAAAGACTGCATGCACCATCTTTCAAGGCCTTATGTGAACTATACATACGCAAGAGTTGCTGTATACTGTAAATACATCGTGGATGTGTATAAATTCACATAAGAT